AGGGCTGAACGATTTTGCTAAAAATCTAAATTGCAATTATTTTCCCCCAAAATTGCGATTGCTATTTAATTTCAATTTTCCTTTGCACTAGCTTGTAGATTGTTCACCAAAGGCTTTGGTTATTTGAGAGCTTTCTTGGCCAGGCTCCATTGTTACAAGACTTTACTGTAACCATTGTGTGAAAAGGTGTTTACTTCTAGTTCCATGCATGAATCTATGTGCTAGCTGCAAATCTCTCTACCTTTTTGTGCAGTGACAAATCCACTTCAAGCATTTAACCACCACCCAAAGGGCTGGAGGAAGAAATGTAATGTTCTGCTCTTGTCAAATATAGTGTGCTTAAAAATCAGTGCCTCTGCATGTTGTGGAATTGCAATTATATTGCAAATGCAATTAATTGACCAGCCCTAGGAAAATGATAGTAATACTCACCCCAAAAGGTTCATCACAGGTTAACAAAGAGATAGACAGGACAGACAAACATCCACACACCCTCACAATGTCACCCAACACCCATACCTAAAAGGTATGCATTTAAACTGTGGAATAAGACCATAGTACCAAACAAGAACCCAACCACATTTGACAGGACCATCAGACTTGTAGGATGACCCTAGGAAGGTATTCACCTTCTTTCTGATTAGCAACATTGTAGCAACTGTGCAAATGTGTTGCCAAATATCAAACTTAAGTGAAAGTATATTAACAAATGTCCTTTTCTTTTTATTTTTCTACTTTCTGCATCATCCAACAGGCGTCTCCTTCAAGCAGCCAAAAGAGCCAATCAAACAGGTCACTTCATATGGGTAGGGTCTGACAGCTGGGGATCCAAAATTGCACCAATCCTGAACCAAGAAGAAATGGCAGAAGGGGCAGTCACCATCCTACCAAAACGACAATCAATCAAAGGTATTCAGTATTGAAGATGCCTGTTTTTTAATACTTTATTATTCTTATGGATTATCTTTAGATTTTGTGTCCTAAAGGCATAATAGGCTAGGATTGAGTAATATATGGATGTTAAGCAGATAGTATATGTATACATATTCCAAAGCCCTATGATTGCCATGTTGATTTATAGTTTTTGACCCACATTTAGAATCACACGGAGAAGGAGTCAGTTTTTACGTTTTATTTAGCAAAGCAGCAAGAATTTGGAAGTGAGAACTGCAGGAAGTCATTTGAATTTGGTTTGTCTGAGGTAGAAAGCAGGCTGACCAGGAAGGAGTTGGTTGGCTTTGCAGACTGTACCCCAGAGGTCCAGAAGAATGTAAGTGAGATCCAAGAGCATTGGTTCTTGTGAAAGATGTCAAACTGGAAAGCGGACAGGCAGGTGATGAACCTGAGAACTGCTGCACACAGGAAAGACCTTTTCCATGACGATTTGAGGTGGACTAGGGTTTGCTGATTGTTTTGAACAGTAAAATAGTCCACATTAAAGATATTCACAAGAAGACAAATTTAAACAAGAAAGATTTTCCTGGTTTAGGCCTTTGGATGGAATACAATAGGGGCAATCATACAGTGAAAAGAGATGATCCTTCACCTCCTTATACACATGATAGTCATCCTGATTGAAAAACATTGTCAGATGTGCAGCTACATGATTGGCTCAGCCACTAGCAAAGATCCCCTCTGTTACAGGAAGCTCACTCATGCCAGAAAAAGCAAAACCCAAGAGTGACAATGATGTGACAATGATGGGCATACAGTAACATTTATCTGATCTCTTAACTAATATATAAGTATGGTACTTACTTCTTATTGTACCATTCTGTATGTAGAGTCAGAAAACGTTTGAATAGATGACATTTAATTAGGCATAGCCACATACATTTAAAAGCAATGATTTACCACATACCATTTCTAAGCACATACAGTAGTTTGTGCTTAGAAATGGGATGGGAGTAGAGGGAGTAGGAACAACAAAATAGGAAATAAAAAGACATGGCACAAGTATAACCATTAAAAACCCTTTAATCAAAGTATTTAAAAAAAAGTATTTTTGAAGAATTCTCCAGTAATATTTTTTCATGTTCTCACTTGAATTTCAGCTTGTCTCATCTTGATATTAAGTTTATGGTTGGTTTCTGGGTCACAGTAGTTTGAAAAACAGAGGAGACAGGATTAGAGGTTTAATATGCCAACATATAATACAAAATGCTAAAAGGTTTTACGTTTTTTTTTATTTTTATAAATATATAGTTATAGTAAAAGTTGATGTTAATTGAGTTGTTGTCGGTAATTGAGTTTCAAATAAAAAAAGCTGGTTTCTACTGTTTTATATTTTTTACTCTCAGGTTTTGATCGGTACTTCATCAGCCGAACATTAGAGAACAACCGACGAAATATCTGGTTTGCAGAGTTTTGGGAGAACAATTTCCAGTGCAAGCTTAGTCGGCATGCTGTGAAGAAAGGATCTGGCATCAAAAAGTGCACAAGTGAGTTTTCAAATAATGGATAAAGGCCTCTTGGCCAATGTAGAACACTCAATCTCTGACCAACTCTAAGCTATGAATACATTATGCCTGGGTGGGTTTGTATCAAACTTTGTGGCTTCACATTGCATGGATGGGTTTATTTTATCACTAGAAAAAACAGTTATATTCTATATTACAGTGCCTTATTCCGTAAGAGAAATTAATATTCTCATTATTTGTGCTGACTAGCTCTATTTGAAGTGTTGCCAAATAGCAATCACAAAAATAGGCTTTTGCTTTCCGTGAAAAAAATCAATAGCATAACCAGTCAGCTCATTAGAAAGAAACTTTCTCGTCATTAAAATCAGTAGATTCTTCAGGCTTGTCTCTGATCTCACTGTGCATTGCACCACTGCATCTCTAGTACTCCAGGGTGACATTAATCCTACATCTGGGCCTTAATAAGAGTCTTTGATGCAGGGTTGTGTGTCAGAGTGCTGTACAGAATCACAACTATTTTAGTATTTTGAAAGAGAGGTACTGGACATTTTTGGTCATATCAAGCACTCCAAGTTTCCTCTATATCATTTGTTGTGATTACAACCAAGACCAACCCTCTAAGTTTCCTACTGTGGATTCTGCTCCAAATTCCATTTGACCCTGATGCCGTGCTGCTTCGGCCTATTCTTTTAAATTGCATGTTTAACCCAAATCAAGGGCTGTGCAAATGCTTTCTGGGGAGAAGAATGATCAATCAAAGTAATTGGTGAACCCTGTGCAACAAAAAAACGTACATACTGTAGAGGCCTATTAACCAGTGCTTTAAAAAAAAAAAAAAAAAAAGGAACTGTAGCATTTAAAGTTCAGTGTAACACCATACAAGTTAATTGGAGAAATTCAAATGTGTTGTTAATCTAAGCTAAGCTTTGATATCCCTTTGGGAAATTAGTTAAGTATTACACCTCTCTGGCCACTGCAATGACCACACCCCCATGACCATATCGATTAATTCATAAATCAGTCAAAGGTCTATGGAGCGAAATCGGTGAAAATCAATTTTCACAAATACACATATGTGATTCATGCATGCACAGGGCAAGCTCCAAACACACACAGCATGATTCATGCAAGCACAAAAAATCTACACACACACAATACAAGCTCCACGCATACACTGCACGATTCACACAGCACAAAAATATTCACACACATGCAGTACTAGAACCACACACACACAGCACGAGTCACGCAAGCATACAAGATTCACACATGCACAACACATGATTCGCCAAAGTATTTCTGGTCCATAAACAATTATAAATTAAATTATAAAGTATCAGTGGTCTTTAAATTTCAATGCATTTGTGTGTGGATTTTTGAGACTCTCCTGATGTGCCTCAATACACAAATGCATTTTTTTAAAGGGGTTCGTTTGCAAACAATCACAGAGTTCCCTTCTATAAGCCAATCACAAGAAAGTAATCCACGTGGGATGACTCCGGTCCGGTCCGGTGTTCTGTCAGCTCAGCATACTGAGTCAGGCCAGCATACCCTTAGTAATACGTATTGCATACTTTCCTCTGTCTCTGCACCCCTTACAAGTACACTGTTGGATTTCACAATTTAGTCAGGTTTATATCGTAGAATCATTCACTAGGTTCATTACACACATTAGGTCTAAAAACAAACATTGCATGTCCGTTAGATGAGATACTTATTAAAGAATGATCGGCATTTTTTCACAGTGAATTAAATATTTATAGGGAGAGAATTCTACTGCCCATTTAACAGGATATGAAAGTTATTTGTTTTTAGTTTGTTGAATATGAGCGACATGCAAATAATTTTATTTTTATTTATCTATTTTTACAGCATATGAAGAACTACTGATTTTCAGTATACATATTCCAAATACATCGATAAGTGCTATATGTTGACCTCAAAAAATAATTTTCTATATATTTAAATAAGTTAATATATGTTTTAAATGTTACATGGTGTTCCTTTAATAGGTAGTAATACATTGCCAAAGGACTATTTTTGAACTATGGCTACATTTTGAGCAACAAAACATACTAGTGGCAGTAAGGGACTACACAGACCAGAGATATTAGGTTATAAATCAGGTTGCAGCTGTTTACCAAATCAGGAGAAAAAAAAACAATGCAGAAATCGGTCAATTGCATAACAACAATCATTTATCACGGCTTCATTTGGATACTGTTGTGCTACAGTAACAACTTTGATGACTATGTAACGTATAGCTAAGACATGGCTCCTGGTGCTGAGGGTATAAATTGGACTTATTTAAATTAATCTGAGTAAAACTGTATTCTGTATATTTAGAATTGGATTTGTCTTTGAAAGTTCCTTGATTGGACAGATATTGTAAACTGGTGTGTTATACTGTATGTTAAATAAACTGAACTCAACTGAATCATTTAAACATATTTTCAGAAATTTGGCCTATAATTATTCAGTCCAGTTAATTAATGTGGACAGAAATATGCATCCTTGGATTGTCTCCAGAGGACCCGGAACTTTTAACAGGGACAAAAATTCTGCCTTGGGCTATTTTTAGCAGAAATCTGGGATGCTCAGTTTATAATGAAACATGACATGCATGAATCTTCTCCTTCACTGCTAATGAATCTTTCAATCAAAAATGTCAAATATTTACACACATGTAAATTTTATTTCCCCTATTTTTTTTTAAATAGCCAGTCTTTATTTCCACTCCTTAGTAGCAGTCGAAAAGATATATAAAATGTATGACAATATTGTGTTCAATGACAAACACTGAGGTATACCCCAGTTATCCTTATTATTAGGGGAACACTTAATTTGTGAATGATTTCTGTTTATTAGTTGTCATGGTGGCGGCTCTTGAGCAAAATTGCTGCTGCCCTTTTCTTCCTTCAAGAAGCCCCCTGGGTACAATCATTTTTTAAGAGCAACCGGTACAATGATTCCTCTCAGAGCTCTTTGCCAGCTATGTTCCTTTACTTTCCTTTGCTCCATTCGAAAGCGCAGTGATTTCTTTCTCCCCCCATTTCTGTTAAGGCACATCAATCTGGTTTTACAACTCAGCTGCACTTGTTTATACAAAAACAAATTTAGAGAATATCTAAAATACAAAAATTTAAAATGTAAATGTTAATAACTTGTAAAATGGCTTGAAAAAAATGCTGCTTCATTTTATAACATACCTTTACCATTAATTATCAACTTTATATGTAACTACTAATGTCATAAAGATTGTTAAATCTTTGTGATATTTTACCAGTAGATTATGTTATTAGAATATATTATTACCTCAAACTGAAAGTTGTAGTTAATTAATAGGTCATTCAAAATCAGGGATAAAAACCAATTAAATGTTATTAGTTGAATGGCTATCAGCAGAGTTGTTAATTACAAACCAAGAAGAAAACTGTCTCTGTCTATTCAAATGTTACCAAGAGGAGGGTGAGTCTGAGCTGAAAGATACATTTTTCGCTGCACAATAAACACAAACTGCTACAGGTTAAAATATTTATGTCTTTATTTCTAATAATCAAGGATTACGGCAAATCTAACATCATTGCAAACACTGCACAATACTAGAAAATAAACAAAAGGTTGATCAAACGGATAATTGGGGTAGAGCGAAAAAGGGGGTGTAAGAGTCCATTCAAATTATTTGTTAGGGGATGTCCAAGTTGAGCTAGATGCATTAATGCATAAATCAAACATCATTGCAGATGTGAATAACAATAAATGCAGTTAAACAGTGTTGTTTTGTTGAGCTTACAATGGGTAATGGTTCACAAATGCATTAAATAATACAGCATTACAGCACGATGGTTAGCTTAGATGAACTTAAGACCCAGCTAGAGGGTGGAACTTCACTGAGATAAAGGCTGTGTCGGAATGTCTGCCCTAATCTTGATATAGTATGGAGTTAGATCGGTCTCAATTTTCTCAAATACACATATGTAATTCATATGTGGACAAGCTAAGATCCACACATGCACAGCACTATTCACAAACAGAAGATTGTTTGCGACCATTCACAAAGCTTCTTTGTATGAGCCAATCACAAGAAAGTACTCCACGTTGGATGAATATCCCCAGATCCCGCATCCTCCACTCTGCCCCACTCTGTTCCAGACCTCCTGTGCAAAGCAAGGCTACAATCTTTGTGGTTCCTTCCATGCACTCTATTATTATTTAATTCAAAGGAGAAAAATAATGCGGAATGAATGCTTAATTTAGTATGACATAATTAAATCTCACTATCACAGTAGATCATACAAGTTTCTGCCCAAAAATGTTCTTTTCATTCTGGGTCTTTGTAATAGGAATAATAATAAAAAATTGTTTTGTACTGTACTTTCTCTACCTCATCTCTTCATTGTTGCCTGCAATAAAAAGGTTTTTGAAGTTGTTAGAGGCGCACTTGGAAGGTGGTTTGACTGGATTTGATTAAACAATTAAGCATCTCTGAATAAAATAAATATTTTGATGGAGATGAGAAATCTGCTTCCTGGTATGTTGAAGTACCTATCTTAGTTTTTGGGAATATATAAGAGTTATTCTCTAATTTGTATTTACCAATCTGTCGTTACCATGTTTTAATTTGACTAATCGGATCTTCTCGACATCCTTTTTCCTGTTTGGTGTGATTGCAATTGTGGATCTTGACCTGGCTGGACTGGAGCGGAGCAAAAAAATTGCTTGGCTCCATACAGTATTTTGACGGTGAATGATGGAGAAGACATACACAGACGGGGATGTGCAAAGGAGTAGCAACGGATGTGGAACAGTTCTCATTGAGAAAGAGCACACAGCACCATGTCTGCCTGAAAGGGATCTGCATTGTTTATTGGCCTGCAGTAAATTTCCTCAAAGAGGCATGATCCCAGTCACAAGGGGGTCAGACTGTAAGCATGTGCTCCAGCAGTGTTTGTAACACAACATCTACTAGAGCCAAGGAATTAGTGTTTGAAAGGACATCAGTACAGATGTATAATTCACATCTTAATGCTTCACCTAGTTTTCCTTATCCAACTGTTTTTTTGAAGGGCAACACATACTTTGTGCCTTGATCTACATAATCTCCTCTAGTTAAGAAGTCATTGTAAGCATTAGCATTGAACTATGACTTTGACTAGTGAAAAGACTATACATTAATTCTTCACAATCTTAGACAGTATGTTTTTTTTTGTCATAATAATCAGTTTTAGTTATAACAATAGTGTAATAGTAATCGATCCATAAAAGTTTCAGATGAGACCAGGCTGATAGAAATTATAACATGATAAAACAAGATATGAAAAAAAACCTCAAATCCTCATGTCCCTTGCAGAACAAATTGATGCCTTTGTCAAAGCTACAACAGTCAAAAACAGAAATGGAAAGGGTGCTGGTGAAACAAGTGGTTCCCTCAGTGGTTTGTTATTCTGGAGAAACGGGGTGAATATTTAGGCGTGCATCTGAAATGTTATAAGAATACATCAGATAATAACTAATAATATTAATAATAACTGATAATTGTATTAAATAAAAGCAGGTCACTACAAAGCAGAAATACCTGGACTAGGAGTTGAACCCAGGACCTTCTTGCTGTAAGATAACAGAGCTATAATCTGTGCAGCTATGCATCCCTACATCTAATATATAAAAACGTTTTTGATTACACAGCAAACAAATCATTGCTTTGGAAAATAGTTTTATTATAGTTATGTCTTGGCATTTCAGGCCCATTTTCAGATGTTGGTTTCAGGCACTTTGGTATCATGCTAATCAATTCAGCAGAGTGCACAGACCGTGTAACAGTTTACATGCTCATACTTTGTAACTGCCAAATCAGTAAACTTCTGATCCAGTGTTTCCTGTTTTATGCTGATAGCGCAAAGGACTGTGTTACTGTTTGTGTCTGAGCACAAGCAAAAACATGGATAAGCAACAGTTCAATTATACGGATGAATGGATAACTGTACAGAGATAAAAAAAAAGCTACTGCTGCTCATTGGATGCCCTTTAGGTAGACACAATGGTGTCTTAATTGATATGAAAGATTACATAGTCCCTTTTAATTCGTAATGCAATTATTTGATTTTATATTGTATAAAACTGTAAAGAGAACATTATTTTGCTTCACTGCACTTTACTAGTAACTGTTGTTGCTATATTTTACCTGTAGATTATAAATATATAATTAACTAGAACTGGTGTAGTAGTTAATTATTTAAATCATTCAGGTTTAAAGCAATTTAATGTTCTTACTTGAATAGTTAAAACTATAATCTGTTTACTCACCAGGATTTTAGGCCTCTTACACTCAGGGTGGCTTCTGGCACAGCTGTTAAAATCCAGTTATTCTTACCAGTTTAGTGACTTAAGCTAGGCTATCAGGAGAGCTATTCATTACCAACAAAAGAAATATTGTCTCTGTTTATTCAAATGTCACCAAAAGAAGGGTGGATCTGGCATGAGTGATAAACCACTCGCCATACAAAAAGTACAAATGACTACAGGTTATAATAATGATATCTTTATTTCTGCGATCCAGGATTATAATGATGGTAATAAGGACAGTTAAAACAACATGAATACATTCAGCTGAAAATGGTTAATGTTTACAAATGTATTAATAATATAGCATTGTAGCAAGGCGATAACCCTACATTCATCTAACCTAGCAAAAAGGGGGGGGGTCTTTCCTAGGTCCTGGCTCCTTTGACCCCTACTATGCAGTAGAAAGAAGGTGGAGCAACAAGCTATTACAAAAGGCGGAGGTTGGACTACAAAAATCCAGAGAATAGTTTTATGAACTCAGAAAATGGCTACCTTAACAAGCGGGTACACACGGATAAAAAAAGGTGTACAGACCCTCAATCCCTCTACTACACTAACCTCAGGACAAAAAGGGAAACCAAGAAAATCAGGATGAAAGAAACACATAAACTCACTCACAGCCTATCACACCACATTAACTCACACCATAAAATCAGAGCTCTTTTATAAATGCTTTTAGATTAAACATCAGCATAAAGCAATAAAAGCTTTGCAAAAACCTGACTTAACTAGCTAGTTCACTGATTTCCTTCTTTATTAGCAATCTTGTATCACTACACTGCACTCCTGTTACTCTTTAAAAATAAAATCACATTCATCATATTACATTCTAAAAAGGGTATTTCTTAGGCAAACCCCATCTTGGAAGTCTTTGAATTGTCAATATTTATGTATATTTACAAGAAGAACCTTATGATTTCTTAAAGCTGCATTAGCAAAACAGGACACAAAAAAAGAATTTGATAAAATGCGTTGGACCACAATCATATGCAGAAATATGAATGTTTAAAGAAACTTCTGATAAAGCTATGTGTTTGTGAATTTTGTAATAGAAGAATCAAGTTGATAAATGAAAACTTGCTTGGTGAGTTATTTTCCAAAGCAGTAGAATAACTCAAGCCATGATTAATATACACATGTCATAACTAATTACATTAATGGTGAAGAATGATAAGCCTTGTCTGGCTGTGTCTTCCTCCCCTCTCATATCACTCTGTCAAGCTCTCTGCTGATGATTAATGGATTCACACCGGAACAAGGATTGATAGGGATAACAAAGAATGATCTCATAAACAAAACAATATCCCGTGTAATTTTCCATTTACAATTTTAAAGTATATGTAACTAGAGTTTATGACTTAATTTTAACCATGAAACCTGTCTTTACCAAGCATAATTATGTAATATCATGACAAACTTCATTGGTCATTTGCTTGGGAGCACAAAGAATTTCAGGGATAAAGCCTAAAAAGTGTTTTTTGCATAACATTGCTTGGGTCTTAGTGACAGCCAAAACAGAGAAAGGCTCCAAAGGGAGACCACTTTACAATTGTAAAATATTGTAAAGTAAAAAGATTTCTGAAAAGCTTATATTTTTGCTTGGTTTTTACACATCTAATAAATTATTTTCATTAATTAAATATCCTTTTGACATTTTTGTATTAAATTATTGTTTTCCTTTGATAAAGAGTAGCTCAGATATGGTCTTTCTTTGTTTCCTTTTTTTTTTCATGTTAATGAATTTCTTTCAGACCATGAGCGGATTGGAAAAGATTCATCCTATGAGCAAGAAGGGAAAGTACAATTCGTAATAGATGCTGTGTATGCCATGGCTCATGCTCTCCATAACATGCACAAAGACCTCTGCCCTGGGAAAGTTGGCCTCTGCTCCAAAATGGATACCATCAATGGCACACTGCTTCTCAAGTACATTCGCAATGTCAACTTTACAGGTGTGTATTTCTGCTAATTCTAAACATTATGTGTGCATTATGTGTGCTCTAAGTTGATATATTCAACTATATAAGGCTAGAACCAAAATATTATAATAAATGTAATATGTAAGGTGTATGTGACATAGTCCAATTATTGCCTGTAAATTGTGTTCAACAGTTGTTTGTGTGTTGGTACATGAGATAACCTGAACGCTGCACTTTTACCCTTTTTTTGCACACACGCATACTGATTCAGAGACTTTATAAAGATCCACCAGCTTTAAATGATCATGCCAGAGAAAGCAAAACATGAAAGACAGAGATCTGTATGAATCCTGACAATCACCCATAGAAGGGCATGTTTTATCATAGCTGATGATAAGCAGTAACTTTGCTTTGTGAGATTTCCTGCCTTATCTTGTCAGCATGGAATTGCCCACGCAAGAGATTTCTGACTTCAAGGGCACTGGAGGCTGAGTTTAAATTGTGCGGAAGCAAGAATAGGAAGAGACTTAGCTGACAGCATAACAGAAACTGCCATCCGTTGCTGTTCAGTAGTTTCACTTTGTAAAGAGCAAAAATGTTTTTATTGTTACTGACAGAAGCTGAGTGTAGGTGTGGGCATGTGAAGGAGTGTGCATTACACAGAGTGTTTAAAATTTTCTCTACACAGGTCTGAAATCTTTTGACTTTTAAATCTTCATTTATTTCTCAAAATGGCTTCTCATATCAGAGGCATGGGTCAACCACAATAGTTGACCCATGCTTCTGATTACAGCAACATTAAGGTTTCCATTCTCTTTAACACTTTTTTTCTATGTCCTTAGTATGTCCTTTAGGTTTTCATAGCTCAAAACTTGGCCATGTCCTTAAGAACTGGTGCTTTTTAAGGACAAAGTCAATATATTTAGTGTTATTATAAACTACTGTATTTGAATGATATTGGAATGGGCTGTGTAATGTACAATGTTTGCAGACTCAGTAGGTTTCCATTCATTTTGGGGTTGAATATTTCAATAATTTTTTTTTTCTTTCATATTAATAATTAAATCACTGTAGTGCATCAAAAATTATGATCAGAACTCATCATTATGACTATATTTTATTCAGATCAGTCTTAAAATATCTGTACTTGAACTCGTACTCCATTTGGAAATATCTGGCATCGGTGCCTTCCAACAGCATGGTATCACAGAATCTCTGGGAATTAGTCTCTTCTTCGGGAAGACAGAACAGAGTAAGAGACCTCTTGCAGCCAGAAACACATTTTTATGACTCGGGAATTATTTATTGGTTAAAAAAGCAAATAATTTTTTCACAGTTCAGATTACGTAATAAAAGAACCACTTCATCTCAGCACTGAGAAAAAATTATGGCGCTCTGCCTCACCTCACTGCTTGCAGAGTTGGCGTGTTGTTAACTGGGCAGGGACGGTGCAGCCAAGGTAGGTGCTTCCTGGAAAGAGCAGTTGATGACAACTTGTTTTGGTTATTCACTTTTCCAGCACAATTCACATTTTATTAAAACATGAATAAAGCAAAA